AAATAGAAAGTGCTATAGCACAATTAAAATCTGCTTTAGAAGCAGATGATTTAGAAGAAATTAAAGCAAAAACTGAGATCCTTACTGTTAGCAGTATGAAAATTGGAGAAGCAATGTATCAGTCACAGGCTGAAAGTGGTCCGAGCTCTCCTCCTGAAGAAAAGGTTGTTGAAGGCAATTACGAAGATGTAAGCGAAAATAAGTAATACAAATTGAACATCAATATATTCCTTTAATTTTTATAACCTGATTGTTCCTATGTATACTCTTTTTATTTCAAGCATTGGGTTGATTTGTCAGAGGTGAGCGCGCGGAGCGTACATGTTAGTACGTGCGCACGCAAATTTCTGATAAAATGAAAACACAACTCTTGAAAGACGAAGAGTATATAGCTTGATATATCAAGCCTTGGTTACTTAAGTCAATACTTGAATCTCTAATAAAACACATATTATATATGGCAACAAAAGATTATTATCAACTACTTGGTGTGAGCAAAACTGCTACGCAAGCAGAGCTAAAAAAAGCCTACCATAAATTGGCAATGCAACATCACCCTGACCGCAATTCTCAGGACACTCAGGCAGAAAAAAAATTTAAGGAAATTAATGCGGCTTATGACATTTTTTGGCCGTGAACCTCATAGAGGTGTGAATCCTGATGAAGTGGTAGCTTTAGGAGCGGCTATTCAAGGTGGAGTATTAAACAAAGAAGTTACCGATATATTATTACTTGATGTTACCCCTCTCTCTTTAGGTATAGAAACCTTAGGAGGCGTCTTTACTAGGTTAATTGATCGTAATACTACTATCCCTACTAAGAAAAGTCAGATTTTTTCTACTGCTGAAGATAATCAGCAGGCGGTAACTATTCGTGTATTCCAAGGGGAAAGAGAAATGGCAAGTGATAATAAATTACTTGGCCAATTCAACCTCGAAGGTATTCCACCATCTGCTAGAGGGTTACCTCAAATTGAAGTCACTTTTGATATAGATGTAAACGGTATAGTTCACGTATCCGCTAAAGATAAGGCTAGTGGTAAAGAACAAAAGGTTACTATTCAAGCTTCTGGAGGACTTAGTGAAACTGAAATTGAACAAATGGTAAAAGAAGCAGAACAAAATGCTGCAGGCGACAAAAAGCGACGAGAATTAATTGACGCTAGAAATAGCGCAGATAG